TATATATATATATATATATATATATATATATATATATATATATATATGTATATATGTATATAAATGTGTGTGTGTGCGTGTATATATGTATGTATATATTAATTGGGGGTTAGGGGATAATGCTAGAATGAGAAATTCCGTTTAGGGGATTTTAAACATTTGGTAAGGTCTGTTTCTTGTTTTTAGTATTTTACCTTGTTTTACAGCACCTTGATTTATTGTTTTATAACACAACTTTTATTTTAACTGCATTTTTTCTGTAGTTTATTGTTATTATGGTTTATTGTTATTGCTGTCTGTATTTTATATGTTTTGTCTGGAGGAAGTCTCTCTTGTAAGTGAGTCCTTGTGTCTTAAGGAGACTAACCTGTATAAATAAAGGTTGAATGAATGTGGGACTGAAAGTCTTGCCTTCTCCTCTAAACACAATAATGGTGTTTTAATGGTCTCAAATAACTAATTACAACTAAGCAGATTTTTCTAATGATGAATTTGAACTCAATTTCTGAGGAATAATTCTGACTCTACTTTTCATCTTTTAATCCCATTCATTTACATGAGTTTAATATTTAAGGCAACCAGCCTATAGGGGGCGCTAATTCTGTTTCAACTTCAACTTCTGTGTTATGTTTCTGCATCTAATTATGAATATATATATAGATGAAAAAAATAATGTTTTTTCTTTGTACTTTGATGTGTTTATGGAAATCTCATTTGAGAAACATGCGAAAGGAGTTTTTTAATGTGGACAAAAGAAAAAAATAAATGAGTAGTCATGTAGAGAGGGTCTACACAGAACTAATAACGTGTGGCTCTGTAGGTTAAAATTGGAAGCACCTCTGATGTCGGCTGTGATTCAACAACTCTGTTTATATTCTGCACACAAACCTGCTGGGTGACAGAAGTTTTAATGCCTTTCTCTGGCCTTTACTGAAAGAACATATATTTTCTTGTGGTTCATTCAGTTTTTGGGAAATGAAGTTACTCGGGAAGTACAGCTCATCACTTCTTGGTCCAAGATCATGTCTATGCTAAAATCAATCCACTGCCATTGGATAATTTAATTGATGCTTATTACAGATTATATGGTCTTGCTAAAACTGACCCCAGGCAAATGGAGAATTGCTCATCTTTGTCACTTTGTCTTGAGCTGCATTCTTGTTCATTTCCACACAGCTCCTCTGAGTTGCAGATGAGATATTTCATTAACCACGTCACGGAAATGAATGACTTTAATAAGTTCTACAAGTTGAATTGGAAATATAAACTAGAGCGGATTACTGTGCTACAGAAATCATGAAAGTTTCTTTTTAATAAAAAAAATCATTATCTAAAGTTGTACTGTTTGTGCAACTGTTCCACAAACACCAGATATTTTCACAAAACTTAATTTGCGTGACATTTCAATTCCACGTGTGTGAATTGTGATCCTCATTGACAAACGGTGAATTTAATATGTTGCTTTTTTTTGTATATTACGGCAGAGCAGAGATGGATTTTGTAAATTCTTGTGCCTCATGATCATGGAAATGTCCATAAATATCCCTAAATATTCCCTGGAAGTATTTAAAGATATCTCACAGACACTTTCCTAGATGTCTATAAATACTTCATGATGCTGTTTTAAATCGTGTGATTGTTAAGCACAAAAATCCTACAGAATCCATCCCACAGGTATGACTTTTACATTTCTGAACTCCTATTTTTCTCTCCTTTGCGCAGAGATCCAAAATAGCAGTATACGAGAAGATGTGGTCTTACATGAAATCCGCCGAGCCCTCGGTGTTTGTTAAGACCACGCCAGACGGCGTTGCCCGAGTGCGGAAGTCGAAGGGCAAGTTTGCCTTTCTCCTCGAGTCCACCATGAACGAGTACATCGAGCAGCGGAAGCCGTGCGACACCATGAAAGTGGGAGGAAACCTCGACTCTAAAGGCTACGGTGTGGCGACGCCCAAAGGCTCAGCATTAAGGTGGGTGGAATAATATAACAATACCCCCCATGTTGTTATAGTATTCCACCTACCCTGATGTCCCCCCTGTTATCATTCTCTTCTCTTCTTCTTGTTTTTTTTTTTTTTATGGACACAGAGGTAACGGTAATGCCTTTAAAAGGACTTGGATGCTAAGTTTACTTGAAGCTAATCCATGTACAGTAAATGTTTCCTAATAGAGATCAAACCCAGAGAATAAGGTTAAAGCTAACAGTCATTTCGTATTTGTTTCTTTCTTACTGCTGCTTTTCTCTCTCCTTCGCTCTCTCCTTCTGTCCCGTGTCCTGTCCTACCTGACTGTTGTGTTGTCATTTTTAATTTAACAGTTCGATGGTTTTTCAATTTAGCCTTTAAAAGCTGCGCCGTCACTTGCAACGAATGTTAATTGCATGATGTTTGTTGTTACTTCTCTTCTCAATGACAAGTGTCCCCATCCCGCACACTTCAGTTCTAAACTACGTAACCCTTCATGCCACCTTTTTCCAAGATTTAACACTGTCTCTGCCTTATATGAACCTTTCTTATCTCTTTATACCCTTTAAATTCTGAAACAATTTGTCCTCACCTAGACCATTCCGATCAACAGTCTGTGCATAAGCCTCAGCTTTGACAGTGGTAATCTCACTACCATTGCCTATTATTACGATGCTTAGTACGAATATTTGCATTAGAGTTCTCACGCACCTGTGCATTTTCTTACAAGTTATGTTTTATCGTTTCAAGAAATGCTGTTAACCTGGCAGTTTTAAAACTGAATGAGCAAGGCCTCTTGGACAAATTGAAAAACAAATGGTGGTACGACAAGGGAGAGTGCGGCAGCGGGGGAGGTGACTCCAAGGTCAGCCTCGATGTCACCACAATCGGGTACTATAGTGCAGAGTAATCGGCACGGCTGTTACACAAACCCAACCTCGACCAGATTCTGCTGCTGCCGCACCAAGGCAGCTCACCAGGCTCACTGACAGTCGGAACAAATGGTTCCACAGCTCGGATCAAACTAAGGAGCTTTTGTTTAGCCAGCAGAAAAACGTCATTAGAAAAAAAAACAAAAGGAGCAACGCAGTTCTGCGTAATCATTAACGATGCTGTGGTTTTTCAAGAGGAATGCTGCTGCTATGTGTTTTTAACCTCCATACCTGTGTAGGACATAAAAACAAAGAACAGGTGTTGAAATCCCCTAAAAATAAATAATTTGCCAATAATAATGTTTTGATAGGGACACAATAATATGGATTTATTTAACACAAGCAAGGTTTGTCAATCCTGGAAAATACGGCATTGCAGTCCCTCACAGCACTGTTTCTTCACATCCACAACTCAGGCTGAGAGCCGTTGGTGTAGAAACCAATTCGCCTTAATGTCAGAAAACATCAGGATGTTTTTTTCAGCTGAAGCCAAGCAGAAAGCACCGGAAACAAAGGGTCCTTTAAATAACTAAGAATCACAGACAATTGTGATGCTTCTAACGTATTTTCTGGAATATAAATCGCAGTTTTTTTGCGACTTTTATGCTGAAGCAACTTATATATGTTTGTTTGTTTTTTCCCCATATTCATAACGCAATTTTTGACTTACGCTTTAAATTTTGAAGAACTGCAACAGCCAGTCCTCTCGTGCCTGCTCGCTTCACTCAGCTGGTGCATGTAGAGGAACACTGGAGAGCTCATGGCTCCAGCCGCGATGGTTGGATGAATGGATGGGTGGATGGATGGATGGATGGATGGATGGATGAATGGATGGGTGGATGGATGGATGGATGGATGAATGGATGGGTGGATGGATGGATGGATGGATGGATGGAT